CAGATAACGCACCACCAGGGGCGGACTGACAACTCATGAGGCCCCCGGGCAATAGAGGATCATGGGGCCCCATGTCCTTGCCCAAACTCAAAAAAGCCTATGAAAAAAGGTACCAGGGGCATCTCATGGGGCTCCCTACTGACCCCGGGCCCTGAGGCAGTGCCCAAGTTTCCAAATGGTCAGTCCGCCCCTGCACACCACTTCACCCAGAAAATTGTTGCAATTACAAATGTTTCGGCATTCTCATGTTTCTTTCTTTTGTTTGTATTGATAGGATACAAAAAAAAGTGGAGAAACAAAAAGCCAAATCTTTCACATTCTACGCAATCCACAAAAATGGACCGGACAAAATGAATGGCACCCTCAATGTAATATTTGGTGGCACAGACCTTGGAATAAATAAAACTGAAATCAATGGCTTCCTGTCACCATCAATGAGTTTCTTCCACCTCTCTACTGGGATTTCGGAGTGCTCTTCTTTCACCAACTGCTCCGGGTCTCTCAGATTGGAAGGTTCCTTTTCCCAACTGCTGCTTTGAGATCTCTCCACAGGAGCTCTATGGGATGGAGATCTGGACTCATTGCTGGCCAGTTCAGTCCTCTCCAGCACTTTGTCTGAAACCACTTCTGGGGGCTTTGTGACGTGTGCTTTGGGTCATTGTCTTGCTGGAAGACCCATGACCTCTGATGGAGACCCAACTTTCTGACACTGGGCCCCAAATTGCACCCCAGAATTCTTTGATGGTCCTCAGATTTCATTATGCCATGCTCACGGCCAAGACATCCAGTGCCTGAAGCAGCAAAGTAACCCCAAAACATCAGTGCCCCCCCCCCATGTGTGACTGGAGGGATTGGATTATTTTCTGTAAAGGCCTCAATGCTTTTTCTGGGAAACAGCAGAATGATGGGCTTTACCAAAAAGCTGACATTTTGTTTTGTCTGTCCCCAGCACATTCTCCCAAAAGGATTTTGGCTTCCTCAGGTAAGTTTTGGCAAACTCCAATCTGGCATTTTTATGTTTCTGTGTCAGCAGTGGGGTCCTCCTGGGTCTCCTACCTATTTTCTGTGTCAGCAGTGGGGTCCTCCTGGGTCTCCCACCATATTTCTGTGTCAGCAGCAGTGGGGTCCTCCTGGGTCTCCCACCACCATATTTTCTGTGTCAGCAGTGGGGTCCTCCTGGGTCTCCCACCATATTTCTGTGTCAGCAGTGGGGTCCTCCTGGGTCTCCCACCATATTTCTGTGTCAGCAGTGGGGTCCTCCTGGGTCTCCCACCATATTTCTGTGTCAGCAGTGGGGTCCTCCTGGGTCTCCCACCATATTTCTGTGTCAGCAGTGGGGTCCTCCTGGGTCTCCTTCCATATTTCTGTGTCAGCTGTGGTGGCCTCCTGGGTCTCCTACCATATTTCTGTGTCAGCAGTGGGGCCTCCTACCATATTTCTGTGTCAGCAGTGGGGCCTCCTACCATATTTCTGTGTCAGCAGTGGGGTCCTCCTGGGTCTCCTACCATATTTCTGTGTCAGCAGTGGGGTCCTCCTGGGTCTCCCACCATATTTGTGTCAGCAGTGGGGTCCTCCTGGGTCTCCTACCATAGCGTCCCTTTTCATTCAGATGGTGACATATAGTGTGAACTGACACTTGTACCGTGTGCCTGAAGGTCAGCTGGAATTTGTCTGGAAGTTGATGGAGGTTCTTTAGCCACCATTCAAAGAATCCTTCGTTGCAATCTTTGATCAAGTTTTTCTCTTTCATCCACGTCCAGGGAGAATAGCTGCAGTGCCATGGGCTGTAAACTTCTTGACAGTGCTGCGCACAGTGGACACAGGAACATTAAGATCTGGTAATTGATACAGGTGAGTTTAAGTACAAATTACAGGAGCATCACAAACTTGGAAAGCATTTATTTCTTACAGTTTTGAGAAGATGCCAAAAATTTTGTCCAGTCCATTTTTGGGGTTTACACATGGCAACTGCCTGAACCTATAACTGGGTTTTACAGCAAGGAGCACATGGAAGGGCGATGCATGCCAAACAACAGAGAAAAATTCCCAGCTCAACTTACCAACCAGCATGCATATACATGCATAAGCTGCAGAGGCCTTGTCGTGGCACTCCAGTATTATCTGCAGTCCTAACTATATATTTTGAGAGCCTCCATAGTTGGAGCACATATATAATAATGGATAGATTGAGGGCAGGTATGCCTGGAGGGAGCCCACTCCTTAAAAGCAAAGGGGCACACTGGACACCCAGCAAATAGCACAATGACAACGAAGGTGTCAGGCACAGCTTCCTCTCCAGCAAGGAGAACCATGATTAGTACTTTTGTATTATCACCAAATCTCTTTTCAAACCCTATGAGACTAGTAGTCCACGGCATGATGATAGATGATCTCACGATGGTGATATACACTGATCATTCATAACATTATGACCACTGACAAGTAAAGTAAATAACATTGATTATCTTGTGAAAATGACACCTAAAAATGGGTGGATATATTAGGTAGCAAGTGAACATGCTGTCCCTGAAGCTGATGTGTTGAAAGCAGGAAAAAAAATGGACGAGCGCAACGACTTGAAGGACTTTGACAAGGGTCAAGTTGTAATGTCCAGACGACTGGGTCAGAGCAATTCCAAAACAGCTGCTCTAATGAGATGTTCCTGGTTTGCAGTGGCCAGGTCCGACCAAAAAACACAGTCCAAGGAAGGAAAACCAGCCAACCGTTGACAGGGTCATGGGCAGCCAAGGCTCACTGATGGAGGTGGGGAGGGGGAAGGCTCACTGATGGAGGATTGGGGGGTGGGGGAGGCTCACTGATGGGGGTGGGGAGGGGGAAGGCTCACTGATGGAGGTGGGGAGGGGGAAGGCTCACTGATGGAGGTGGGGAGGGGTAAGGCTCACTGATGGAGGTGGGGGGCCAGGGGGAAGGCTCACTGATGGAGGTGGGGAGGGGGGGAAGGCTCACTGATGGAGGTGGGGAGGGGTAAGGCTCACTGATGGAGGTGAGGAGGGGAAGGCTCACTGATGGAGGTGAGGAGGGGGAAGGCTCACTGATGGAGGTGGAGGTGGGGAGGGGAAGGCTCACTGATGGAGGTGAGGAGGGGGAAGCTCTCATGATGGAGGTGAGGAGGGGGAAGGCTCACTGATGGAGGTGAGGAGGGGGAAGGCTCACTGATGGAGGTGAGGAGGGGGAAGGCTCACTGATGGAGGTGAGGAGGGGAAGGCTCACTGATGGATGTGAGGAGGGGAAGGCTCACTGATGGATGTGAGGAGGGGGAAGGCTCACTGATGGAGGTGAGGAGGGGAAGGCTCACTGATGGAGGTGAGGAGGGGAAGGCTCACTGATGGAGGTGAGGAGGGGAAGGCTCACTGATGGAGGTGAGGAGGGGAAGGCTCACTGATGGAGGTGAGGAGGGGAAGGCTCACTGATAGAGGTGGGGAGGGGAAGGCTCACTGATAGAGGTGGGGAGGGGAAGGATCACTGATGAAGGTGGGCAGGGAAGGATCACTGATGAAGGTGGGCAGGGAAGGATCACTGATGAAGGTGGGCAGGGAAGGATCACTGATGGAGGTGGGCAGGGAAGGCTCACTGATGGAGGTGGGGGGGGGGGGGGGGTGGGGAGGGGGGAAGGCTCACTGATGGAGGTGGGGAGGGGGAAGGCTCACTGATGGAGGTGGGGAGGGGGAAGGCTCACTGATGGAGGTGGGGAGGGGGAAGGCTCACTGATGGAGGTGGGGAGGGGAAGGCTCACTGATGGAGGTGGGCAGGGGAAGGATCACTGATGAAGGTGGGCAGGGAAGGATCACTGAATGGAGGTGGGCAGGGAGGGAAGGATCACTGATGGAGGTGGGCAGGGAAGGATCACTGATGGAGGTGGGCAGGGAAGGATCACTGATGGAGGGTGGGGGGGGGGGGGGGAGGCTCACTGATGGAGGTGGGGAGGGAAGGCTCACTGATGGAGGTGGGGAGGGAAGGCTCACTGATGGAGGTGGGGAGGGAAGGCTCACTGATGGAGGTGGGGGAAGGCTCATTGATGGAGGTGGGGAGGGGGAAGGCTCACTGATGGAGGTGGGGAGGGGAAGGCTCACTGATGGAGGTGGGCAGGGAAGGATCACTGATGGAGGTGGGCAGGGAAGGATCACTGATGGAGGTGGGGGGGGGGGGGGGAGGCTCACTGATGGAGGTGGGCAGGGAAGGCTCACTGATGGAGGTGGGCAGGGAAGGCTCATTGATGGGGATTGGGAGGGAAGGCTCATTGATGGAGGTGGGGGGGGGGGGGGGGGGAGGCTCACTGATGGAGGTGGGCAGGGAAGGCTCATTGATGGGGATTGGGAGGGAAGGCTCCTTGATGGAGGTGGAGGAGAAGGCTGGTCCATGTAGTCCAATCCAATAGAAGAACTACTGGAGTTAAAATTGCTGAAAAAGTGAATACTGGTTCTGATAGAAAGGTGTTGGAACACAGTGTATTGCAGTTTGTTGCTGGGCTGTGTAGCCGCAGACCAGTCGGGGTGCCCATGTTGACCCGTGTCCACAGCCAAAAGTGCCTACAATGGGCACATGAGCGTAAGAACTGGACCACAAATCAATGGAAGAAGGTAGCCTGGTCTGATGAATACGGTTTTCTTTAACATCAGGTGGATGGCCGGGTGCACTTGTGTTGCTTACTTGGGGAAGAGATGGCACTTGGATTCAGTATGGGAAGAAGGCAAACCAGCAGAGGCAGTGTGATGCTTTGGGCAATGTTCTGCTGGGAAACCATGGGTCCTGCCATTCAGGTGGATGTTACGTTGACACATACCACCTACCTAAACATTGTTGGTGACCAAATGCACCCCTTCATGGAAACTATTCACTGATGGCAGTGGCCTCTTTTAGCAGGATAATGGGCCCTGCCACTCTGCAAAAATTGTTCAAGAATGGTTTGAGGAACACAGCTGAGTTTTGAGGTGTTGACTTGCCCTTCAAATTTCCCAGATCTCAATCCAATCGAGCACCCGTAGGATGTGCTGGAAAACAAATCCATGGAGGCCTCACCTCACAACCTACAGGACTCAACCACTTCCGCTGTATATAAAAACAGCCGGACAGTGGCAGTCCAGGGGCGGGTTGCCGTTCATAAACAGCACCCGCCATTATGGACTGTGCACGCTCCCTGGGAGCGCGCGCACCGTGATCCAGTGCCCGCTGATCCAGTCCCCGTCGTACGGGACCTCTGTGCGAGATCCCGATCATGTGATCACTGATTGGCCAATCAGTGATCACATGCAGAGTAGTAAGCAAGATGTCACTTATGACATCATTGCTTACTACGTGTAAAATCTGTGAATGATCACAGAGATCACATGGTACAGGGCCATTCACAATAGCCTTGTACCATGTGACAAGCTGTGACCAATCACAGCTCTCACAGTATTTATCAATGGCTGCAAGAATGCAGTCAGAGAGAAGGAGAACTTACTGCTTTTACAGCCTTTATGGGTGTAAAAGCAAATCGGTGTAAAAAAAAAAAAAAAAAAAAAAAAAAAAATCTTCATCACCCCCACAAGTAGTACAGTGTCACCATGGTGACACTGTACTGCTAGGGTGACAGTGTGTAAAAAAACAAATAATAATATAAAAAATAAAATAAAAATGTAAACACATTTTTTTTTAAATTATGATTTTTGGTTATAAACTAATTTGGGTTATTATTTTTTTTTTTTTTACTAAAAAAGATAACGGAATAAATTTTGGCCGAGATTTATGATGAAATATTACTTTTTTGCAAAAGTTTATAAGATAAACACTTTTTTTCAATATTTTTGGACTTTTTCATTTATATAGCAAAAAAAAAAAAAAAAATCCCAGCAGTGAATAAATCCCACCAAAATAAAGCTTTATCTATCTCAAAAAATGCAAAAAAATTCATATTGGTAGTGTTGCATGACAGCGCAATTGTCATTCAAAGTGTGATAGCGCTGAAAGCTAAAAATTGGCATGGACTGGAAGGGGGGGAAAGCATCCGGACTGGAAGGGGGGGGAAAGCGTCCGGACTGGAAGAGGGGTGAAAGCGTCCGGACTGGAAGAGGGGGGAAAGCGTCCGGACTGGAAGGGGGGGGGAAAGCGTCCGGACTGGAAGGGGGGGAAAGCGTCCGGACTGGAAGGGGGGGAAAGCGTCCGGACTGGAAGGGGGGGGGGAAAGCGTCCGGACTGGAAGGGGGGGGAAAGATTCCGGACAGGAAGGGGGGGAAAGCGTCCGGACTGGAAGGGGGGTGAAAGCGTCCGGACTGGAAGGGGGGTGAAAGCGTCCGGACAGGAAGAGGGGGGAAAGCGTCCGGACAGGAAGGGGGGGAAAGCGTCCGGACAGGAAGGGGGGGAAAGCGTCCGGACAGGAAGGGGGGTGAAAGCGTCCGGACTGGAAGGGGGGGAAAGCGTCCGGACTGGAAGGGGGGGAAAGCGTCGGACTGGAAGGGGGGGAAAGCGTCCGGACTGGAAGGGGGGGGAAAGCGTCCGGACTGGAAGGGGGGGGGGAAAGCGTCCGGACTGGAAGGGGGGGGAAAGCGTCCGGACTGGAATGGGGGGGGGGAAAGCGTCCGGACTGGAAGGGGGGGAAAGCGTCCGGACAGGAAGGGGGGGAAAGCGTCCGGACAGGAAGGGGGGGAAAGCGTCCGGACAGGAAGGGGGGGGGAAGCGTCCAGGACAGGACAGGAGGGGGGGGTGAAAGCGTCCGGACTGGAAGGGGGGGGAAAGCGTCCGGACAGGAAGGGGGGAAAGCGTCCGGACTGGAAGGGGGTGAAAGCGTCCGGACTGGAAGGGGGGGGAAAGCGTCCGGACAGGAAGGGGGTGGGGAAGCATCCGGACAGGAAGGGGGTGAAATCGTTCGGAGAGGAAGGGGGGTGAAAGCGCCTGGACTGGAAGGGGGGGGAAACGTCCGGACTGGAAGGGGGGGAAAGCGTCCGGACTGGAAGGGGGGGGAAGCGTCCGGACTGGAAGGGGGGGAAGCGTCCGGACAGGAAGGGGGTGAAAGCGTCCGGACAGGAAGGGGGGGGCGAAGCGTCCGGACTGGAAGGGGGGGAAAGTGTCCGGACTGGAAGGGGTTAAAAGGATCTGCTACTGGCGGCTTGGTGTGATCGCAGCGTACCTTCAGAGGTCTAGTGGCGGCCATACCTCGACAGGTCAGGGCTGTTTTGGTGGCAGAAGGGGGACCTGCTCTATATGAGGTGGGTGCTCATAATGCCATGGCTGATCGGTGCACAGCTATAAGGATCAAGGCCCAGTTGTGCCTAGGCACAGGAAACGCCCCCTATGTTTCAGAAGAAATTTTAAACAAAGCTGAATATAGTAAGGTAGTGATAGGGGAACATCAGGTAACGGTAAGATAGCACAATGTTCATGTCCACCTTCAATGCTCCCTCCTTTCTCAAAGTGAAGGAAATGTTAAAAAGTCGTACTTTCACGTGTCCTTTCCACGTAGGAGCCACTAATTCAATCTTTTTTTTTTTTAGTGCAATTGCGAATGTACAATTAGCGCCGGCCCCCCATCCTGTCAATGGCTCCTATATTGTCTCAGTACACAGAGGAGGCTATGCCTACAGACAGTGTGGAAGTCGCTGAACCGGAACACGGATTCTGACTCATGAGACAGCAATGTTCTATAACAGCCCACTAAATGCATTATTGGCTAAGTGCACCGGCATCCTGTGTATGGCCTGAACCTACGCAACGCTTTCAAACATTTACTGCGCAGTTAATGGGCTCTGCATGATATGACCGGCCTTATTAGCTCTTCTCTGATCATCACGGAACGCAGAAGCAATGATACTCAATGATACTCCGGAAGAGGAGCCAAACCATTAGCTATGCTTCAATGGACATAATTGCTGGGCTGCAGGGGCGGCCTGGTGGTAAAGTCATTACAGAGGGTAAACCACACAGAAAAACCAAACTGAGCATGAGCGCAAGGCGGCCGAACCTACGCCATCAAACATAAACTGCTGAAAGCGATTGCACTGCTATTATCCAACAATCTTCACCGCATGTTTTAACCCCCTAAATGCTGAACTATCATGTGCATTGTTGGGGGTGGGTTGTAGCGCGGGACTCATTCACTTGGATAGGTTATGTATTGGCGGATAGCAGTGTCCACCAAACACAACAGGGGCAGGGGGGGATAAATCCTGTCACAAAAGCATCGCAACCCCCGGAATGTGTACACTCCTTGCCGCTGCCAACATTTTTGGCTCTATACACACCACAATGGATTTGAAATGAAACGAACAAGATGTGCTTTAACTGCAGACTGTCAGCTTTAATTTGAGGGTATTTACATCCAAATCAGGTGAACGGTGTAGGAATTACAACAGTTGGCATATGTGCCTCCCACTTGTTAAGGGACCAAAAGTAATGGGACAGAATACTAATCATAAATCAAACTTTCACTTTTTAATACTTGGTTGCAAATCCTTTGCAGTCAATGACAGCCTGAAGTGTGGAACACATAGACATCCCCAGACGCTGGGTGTCATCCCTGGTGCTGCTCTGCCAGGCCTTTACTGCAACTCTCTTCAGTTCCTGCTTGTTCTTGGGGCATTTTCCCTTCAGTTTTGTCTTCAGCAAGTGAAATGCTCAATCGGATTCAGGTCAGGTGATGGACTTGGCCATTGCAGAACATTCCACTTTTGGTTGCTTTTGCAGTCTGCTTTGGGTCATTGTCCATCTGCACTGTGAAGCGTCCAATGAGTTGTGAAGCATTTGGCTGAATATGAGCCGATAATATTCCCGAAACACTTCACAATTCATCCGGCTGCTTCTGTCAGCAGTCACATCATCAATAAATACAAGAGAAGCAGTTCCATTGGCAGCCATACATGCCCACGCCATGACACTACCACCACCATGATCACTGATGAGGTGGTATGCTTAGGACCATGAGCAGTTCCTTCTCCATACTCTTCTCTTCCCATCACTCTGGTACAAGTTGATGTCGGTCTCCTCTGTCCATAGGATGTTGTTCCAGAACTGTGAAGGCTTTTTTACATGTCGTTTGGCAAACTCTAATCTGGCCTTCCTGTGTTAGAGGCTCACCAATGGTTTCCATCTTGTGGTGAACCCTCTGTATTCACTCTGGTGAAGTCTTCTCTTGATTGGTGACTTTGACACACATACACCTACCTCCTGGAGAGTGTTCTTGATCTGGCCAACTGTTGTGAAGGGTGTTTTCTTCACCAGGGAAAGAAATCTTCGCTCATCCACCACAGTTGTTTTCCGTGGTCTTCCGGGTCTTTTGGTGTTGCTGAGCTCACCGGTGCGTTCCTTCTTTTTAAGAATGTTCCAAACAGTTGTTTTGGCCACGCCTAATGTTTTTGCTATCTCTCTGATGGTTTGTTTTGTTTTTTTCAGCCTAATGATGGCTTCACTGATAGTGACAGCTCTTTGGGTCTCATCTTGAGAGTTGACAGCAACAGATTCCAAATGCAAATAGCACACTTGAAATGAACTCTGGACCTTTTATCTGCTCATTGTAATTACATTACATTACATTACATTGAGTTTATATAGCGCCAAAGGGTTTGCTCAGCGCTGTACAATAGAGGGGGGGACAATACATGAAACATTACAGCAAACTACGAACAGCACACGAGGGGTAAGAGAGCCCTACTCTTTCGAGCTTACAATCTAGGAGGGAGGGGGTAGTGGTACAGGAGGAAGTGGCTGTGGGGGATGGAGTGGTAGGAGGAATGAAGGAGAGCAGCAGTTAGGTGAGGGTGGGGTAGGCTTCCCTGAAGAGATGGGTTTTCAGGGAGCGCCTGAAGGTGAGGAGGGAAGGTGACAGTCTGATGGATTGGGGTAGTGAGTTCCAGAGGATGGGGGAGGACCTGGAGAAGTCTTGCAGACGTGCGTGTGAGGAGGAGACCAGGGAGCAAGATAGAAGGAGGTCCCTGTGAAGAGCGAAGGGTACGGGTAGGGTGGTACTTGGGAATCAGGTCGGTGAGGTAGTTAGGGGCAGTGTTGTGAATGGCTTTGTAGGTCAGAGTGAGTAGTTTGAATTTGATGCGTTGGGCGATAGGGAGCCAGTGGAGGGAGAGGCAGAGGGGGGGGGCAGAGGTGGAGCAGGGTGGAGGGGGGTGGAGAGGTAGATGAGGTCTAGCCGCTGATGAGTTGAGGATGGTCTGAAGCGGGGAGAGCCTGCACTGGGGTAGGCCGGTGAGGAGGGAGTTGCAGTAGTCAAGGCGTGAGATAATCAGGGAGTGCACAAGTAGTTTAGCGGTGTCTGGGGTAAGGAAGGAGCGTATTTTGGCGATATTGCGGAGGTGGTGGAGCCTGCATGTGTTTGTCAGTGATTTGACATGAGGTTGGAAGGAGAGGTTAGAGTCCA